GCCTCTTCGGCTCTGATTTGCAACGGAGAGCTGTAGTGAGGGGTCTGCGCTGTGTCACTTGGGATTTAGCAGTGCCGCACGTGCCTGTCGCTGCGGCAGAGTTTCCACGGGTCGGGTGTAACACGAAGCTCTGCCAGCACTTGGCACAAGAATAGGGATTCAGTAGCTGCTTGTTGTGGTTATTGGCTAGTTGCTCCTAGGAAATGTTAATGGAGCTAGGGTGGGATTTTTGCTTTCTGGTTTTGCAGATTTTACACGCAGGCTTCTTTCTGCAGTTCCCTTTTGAGTCTGAGCTTTGTGTCCCCTTCAGTAGAAACCTCACTTGGTAGTGACTTGAGTCGGTGACTTGCATCTGGTGGCTGTGAAATCCAATGAGTTTGCGTGCCCGCAGTGCTCAGGGATGTACACTGGCTGCTTTTACAGCAGATCATCTTCTACATCTGAGAGTAATACAGTTTGGAGGAGGCTGAGTGTGGCTTGCTTCAAGATAAACGCACGTGAGAAGCGTGGAGGTAAGCGTATTTGCTGATGGAAGTAAGCAATTCGGTTGACAACACTGCTTAGTGTATCGGTGAATTTGTGTCCTGATTCCAAATTTCTGGAAGAGAACCAAAAAAGCGTTCCCATTGAGGGAAAGATACTTCAATAAAACTTGTTATTTATACTACAGTAGCATCAAGGTGCCTCAGCCTGCTCTGCCAGGCAATGTAGTCAAATATGACAAAAATTCAGTCCCTGTGGCTTTGTCACTGGGTCTGAGCCCTCCGGGAGGCGGTTCTTCCAGGGAGCAAATTTCATTTTTCTGAAGGCAAATAAACATGGCATAAGCCATGCGATTCCAAGAGCGAGCAGGCATAGAATTTTCATATTCCCAAGTAATAATTTGTGAAGCAACTGATGCTCAGCCTGCTGCCAAGACAAGTCCCGGAGACACTGCAGGAACCTCTGGTGAAGTTGTCATGCTCTTCAAAGATCTCCTTGTCCTCCTAAAGCATAAAAAGGCACCACCATTTATAGGTTGTTTTTAAGAAGCCACGCTAGTAAAGTGCTTATTAATGACTTGCAGATTTGCATGTGTGTTCCCTACAATTTTTGCATTCTTTTTGCAATTGGTGAGCTTTAAGACTGGCTAGACATTACCAAAAAAACACCCAAATATCACACTGAAGACCTCTGTGTGCTATTTAATTTATTCTGCTGCCCACTGGGGCTTCCTCTGAGCCTGCTGCTGTTAGACTCGATCCAAACTGAGTTGTCTTGCTAAAGCCACTGCCCCTGGAGCGTGCAATCTGTGTTAGCCTCGCTATTTGACAGTGTCCTGGCTCTGGTCAGCCAGGTTGCTACAGAAGCGTTATTAATGCACTTTATTTGCAGAGCTAATCTGGATTAACTTGTTTGCTGACTTAAACTGATTTCTTTTCTTTTTAGCAGTTCTCCAGATCTGCTGTATCTGTTTTCCCTAAAAAAGCGTGTTTGTGGGTGGATTCCCATATTAAACTGAAGCTACAAATCATTTAAAAGCAAAAATTCAAACTGTATCTCTAAACCAATGACCCAAACTATACTATGCTAGTATGTAGTGAGCTGTAGGTGAAGTAAGAACAGGAGGTCCAGGGAGAGGGGAGAGAGAGAGAGGACTCATAGATCCCTTTTTTAGGGGTGGGTGATTTGCCAGGTGTTGTGGGAAGATGTCATCTACCAGGCACGAGTCATTTGAAGTCAATAGGCAACAGTAGCTGGCATCAAAGAAGCAGCTAGGGCCGTCTCTCTTCCAGGATTTATTAGAAATATCCCAGAAGTGCTCATATGGAGCATAAAAGGACAAACGAGAGAATTTTAAACAGTTAGAGGTCACTATGTCTCCTCTTAATTCTGAAGGGAGTAATAGAAAAACTGTTTGATAAGGAATAATTAATGGAAGTTACTGTCGTCTCATGGGGAAGGGAGCATTTGGCAAGCGCTTTGATCGTACGACAACTGATAACAAACTTTATGGATGAGCTGTAGGTTTTCTAAAGGATGTGGCTGAAGCTGCAGAACACCATACAATATCAATAATGCTTTTTTTTTTTTGATCTAAACGTACGGGCTTACTGGGAGGAATACTTCATGTGTAATTGGTTTTTTTTGAGCTGAACACCAGGTATAATGTTTGCAGTAGTCATCTAATTCTTATTTAGCCCTAACGTGTGAACTTACAAATATCATAGCAGGGCGATGACTCATGTGGTTAAATAACTGGCCGCAATCAGAAAGCGATGTCAGAAGGTGCAGGAAAAAAAGCCAGAAATATTGATCCTTTGATGGAAGAGTGACTAATTTTAAATACTGATTATTTTTTTTTCCATGCAGTCTGGGGAGCATGGCACCAACAGGGTGACTAATTAAAGCAATTCCGAGAGGCAAGGGAGAGGTAAAAGCCGGAATGTTGTTTGTTTTACAGGATGGGCCGCTTTTCTACCGGTGCTATGGCTCTTTGTATCACCCAGCATTGCTCAATATATTGCTGCCTTTTGGCTGCACTGAGTCCCTGGACTGCAAGGAGCAGGAAAATAGTGGTTTAGAGAATAAGGAGATAGACGTTGGATTTTTTTTCTTACCCCTTTCCCCCCCAAAGACACGGAGGCAGTTGCAGAGCTGAGTTTTCTGAGCTCTGGAGCATTTCTATCCTGCCACAACTTGCGGCGTAGTTGGTGTAAACATCTGTGCCAGCCAGCAGGACCGGGCGCTTTCATCTGCAGCCCTGCCTCCTCGGTGCCGCCATCCTGCCGGCTCTCCTGCCAAGCACAGTTGGGTGCGGAGAGGTTACCTCCAAAACCCAGCCCCGCGCTGGAGGAAGAGGTGCCAGCGACTCAACGTACAATGCTTGCAGCATCGGCTTGGCAGGGTCCTCCTGGGAATGTCGACACCAAGGGCTGTCAACCTTTATCTGCAAAGCCGCGGTCCTGTTTTGAGCCGAGGGCTGTGTAGCAGTGGGATTTCAATAGCCAAGCTGGCTGCTTTTCCCCTCTCTCTGATGGGGAATACGACCTTTGAACTTGGATGGGTTACTTTATTTGATGTACTCAAAGTTTAAGAAGTCGATGCCCTTTAATTATTGCAAAGGGCATGTGTTTTGCATTCAGTTTTCCCTTTCCAGTTGATCTTTATTTCGGTTATCTTGCGCTCTGGGTGACAGCCTTGTAATGCAGCACAGAGGGGAAAGAGGAATGCGTTCAAAACAAGCTGGCTTTGTGGTCTGTTTGGGTATCAGTGTCTTCAAGCATCAGAAATATTTATTCTCTCTGTTTCCAGTTAAAGATACACCATCTCTGCAGTACTGAAACTCTGGGGCACACTTGAATTTTACTGGGATGTAAGTGTTTAAAAAAAAACCATAAAACTAAAAATGCATCCAGTGGTCTCCAGCTGCTTGTTTTCCACCTAAAAAAGAGCTAAAGACACCAGGGACTCACACCCTCCTCCCCTGACTACTTACACCTTTGCAAAGCTGGTATAAACTGGAATTTTCACTTGTGCTTTTTTTTCCCTTCTAATTCTTCTTCCCAAACCGATCTGTCTTCCTCTGCTCCAGAAGCTTTAAATGGCTTGCTAAGAAGAAGTAGGAAAGCGCAGTTTAAATTATTTTGGTCTTGGATTAAAATACATGCCACGCGGACGTCATGGTGGCTGGCTGGCTGGCCTGGTTTTTAAATCCAAATAGAGAAGAAGAATGCTGCTACCTCCCCTTAAAAATAATAAGTGAGCTGTGCTGTTGCGTGAAAGCCATGCTTGGCAAGGATTTGGCGTGGGGAGGAGGCTTTCAACCTGTCATGGTTTAGGTAGTGATTAGATTTCGAAGGAAACTAAGCCTTTCAAAAAAGGTTAAGTAGAAAAAACACAGCGTTGCTTTGCACCAGGTTTTAATCGCACATACTTAAGGTGCAAAGCGCTGGCTGGTGCGTTCCTGGGTGGAGGTGACCTTGCAGCCTACAAGGGGTCTTGCCGTGTAAAAATGACATAGAGTAGGATCTTAAGGAGTAGGCAAAGCTCTAAAAATGCTCTTAATTGTTATTTCTTCCTCGATCCTTTCCCAGGTAAATCCACTACACCACTATTTATATATCTTCCACCCCAGAGAGCGCTCCAGCACGATGTGCTGTGGGGTGTAGGAGTTTGGCGAGATGGGAGTTGAGATGAAGACGGTTCAGTTGCACGTAAGGACGTTGTGCAGATGCACACGGGGGAGAGCTGGGTGGTCTCACCCTAACGAACCCATCCCGTGTCTCCAGCTCCTCCATTCCCACTGTGTGGTCAGCAAAACGCCCTGGACTTGTCACTAAAAGCCAAGGGCATGAGGGCTGCTGGCTTTTCAATAGGGGATCTGCATGACAAGCCCCAGGTCAGACAATGGGACCCTCGGTGAGGGCCACCGGGCGTCATCGCATCCCCTGCTGAGCCACAGTATTGTCTGCGGGCACTTGAATGCCCTGTTTTACAGCATTGCGATTCATTCAGAGCAACGAGATGAATATCGCTGGCGTATGTATGGGTGGGCTGCCTTCAAGAGCTCTTTCACACTGGAAATACGTACCTCCAGCCTGCAAAATTAGGGCTGCGGAGTTGGATCATTGGAAACCAGGGACATGCTTGTACTGGTCTAGAGCAATGCTGGAAGCAGGGACAACTTCTCCCGGGGATTTGCTCAAAGTTGTTTTCTCTTGCTACCAAAAGTAGGTTATCAGCCTTTCACTCCAGATGCTCCTTTTTTTTTTTTTTTTAAGGCTTTTTTGTTCTATCTTCTCACAAAAAGAAAAAAAGCCTTTATGTCTGTACAAGCCTCGGAGTAGTCCTGTGCCCCATCAGGTCAGCTCATCTGAATCTATTTTTATTTTTTAGTAGTTGAACAGCTGTGTGTAACGTGATGGAGAGAGAGAGAGATAGAGAGAGAGGGAAGGAATGGTACAACTTGCACCCCTGCCATGCATCTACCTTCGCTCTTGCTTCAGCACAGAATAAATACCAGTGCTTTTTATCAAAGCTGCTGTACTTGCAGGCTAATCCTTCATCTTGTCGCTTTCCTTGTGCTGGTTATTTACAATGGCATGTGGTCCTTAACCTGGGGCTGCTCAGCAGAGGGGCTCCTGCATAATCGCAAGTGCTTCTCACCTCCATCTCGGACCCAGGGCCAGATGCTGCCCTGCCCTGTGGGCTCCCTGCCTGAACTTTGACTCTTCCTCTTGCTTTTCATGTTGGGCAATATATTGCTTGTCAGCACAAGGGCGATGACTCCTGCTCCCTCCGAGCCCCAGCTGGTACCCTTCAGTGTTCCCAGAGCATAAACCACTGTGGCTTTCTACTATGCACTGGCATGCGTGGATATGATTTATTGTGTTTTTTCCCCTCGCTAGACTTGATAATAATGCTCAAGGAATCACTGGGGAGGCCTTGCTCATGTTGAAAGGATTGATACTACATTTTCACGACTCTCTTTTTGAGGGCAGTTGTGTATGAAGTTGAGCTTTGCAGAGAAATGCTTTGGTTCTGAGTCCTCTTTGAGACAAGTGCCAGTGCTCTGCTGGCAGGTGCTAAGGGACTGCATGCAGGATTTAGTGTTTTGGGACTGTCCGTACGTGTGCTGCTGACTTCCTGGTGTCTGGGGACCATTAAGTATGTCCTGGGAGATGCAGTAACAAACAGAGCAACACCCCCAACAGACCAATCAAGGCTTCAAAAACAAGCTTGCCTTTCCTGCCAGCCACACTGTACACTTCTTACCAAAGCTCTGGGGGAAGAAAGGGAAGAATTTTACAAAAAAAAACCCCAGGAGTGGAGATTTTTCAGGCTGTGTCAGGTCAAGGGAGGATTGAATTTCAAACACATTGCCCTCGCATGCAGGTCAGCAGGGCAGACAGCACCCAGCTGATGGGAAGGTGCGGATGCAGAAGCTGCTGCCCAATCACCCAGACCCCAGCCCAGGAGCTGAAGTCACCTTCACTCCTTGATCCTTGGCTTGCAAGCATAGGAGCTGACGTGAGTTTGTCTATCAAAGCTGCTGCTGAAGGATGAGCTCGCTCCTCCCGCATCACCATTTGGCACGCATCCCACTTCTTGTGAGTTAGGCAAGATGTGGAAGAGATGCCTCTGCCTTGCTGGGATCTCGAGAAGGTGAAAGGCAAGAGGTCATTGTACAAAGTCAACAGGGCTGGTTGCATTTGAGGAGGGCAACGCAGAAATTGGGAAATCCTTTTCGTAATTGCAGGGGTTTAACTTTCTAAACACATTTGAATCTCGCTCATCCTCCAAGGCAGATAAGCTGAGCGAGGCCTCTCTGCTCGATCTTATGTTTAATTTACTTCTTGGCAGTGTCCCGTGGTACCCAGGCACCTCTGACAAGTGCAGACACTTGCATTTATTTTTTTTTTGCTGCGAAGTTTGGTTTGGGGCCAAAAGCTCTTTATTTCCCTGGGTATCTTTGAGGGGCTGTCAAGTGTTTTGTTCCCCCCCCCCCCCGTTCCCCAACTCACAGCCTAATACTTTCCCTTAAGGAGCACAGGGAGTGCTCGTGGGAGATGCATGTGTTTCAGTGCTGCTTTTCTGTAATGAGATAGGATGAAATACTGTCAGCTTTGGAAAAAGAGAATAAGTGACCGGGTCTAGGAACACGGGCCAGTTTCTTAGTCTAATTTGGTGACTCTATAAACTGTACAAACTAGCTTAGAGAAGGTAAGTGTGCTGAGTGCGTTAATCGTGGCTAATCTAATTAACTACAAGCTTCTAAGGCAGCTTTCTTTGCACTTTCAGGAGCAGCTCTGCTTGAGGGGATCATCGTCTGGGAAGGTTCTTGCTGGAGGTTTACACTGATCAGGGATACCCTTAAGCTGGCCCATGGTTTTATTGAAGTTGGGGCAGCATGTCTGCTTTTCTCCCATCTGAAACCCAAGGGGAAAAGACAATGATCTGGTGGTTTTCACCCCAAAAATGTGAAGGTCAGAGAACTGGCTGATCAGTATGTTTGCTCTTTTTTTTTTTTTTCTAGGTGCGTGTTACTATGACGCTAACCAGTCGATGTACGTGTTTGGCGGCTGCACGCAGAGCAGTTGTAATGCCGCCTTCAATGACCTCTGGAGACTTGACCTCAACAGCAAGGAATGGATCCGGCCCCTGGCATCAGGTGAGAGGCAGCAGATGTGCAACTCCCCCACCACTTTACCAAAACTTACCTCATCTCCAGGGCTGGCTGGTCTGATTCTGTATTCCCCGCGTGCTTTATCATTATCTGGCCATTTTTCAGGTTATATCTTTTTATTTATTTATTTATTTATTTTGCTGCAGACTATGCACATCCTCGTAGGTTGTTTCTCTTTGTCTGCAGCTTGGTGCTGGCTTGTGCCACACAGTACGAGTGACACTTACCTGCGGCGATGAGAGCCTGTGTTGAGAAGAGTTGTTGTCCCAAAGCTGAGATTTTTTTTTTTTTTTTCTTAAATAACTTTGGTAGCTGCCACTTCAGGTATTTTGAGGAGTGGAGGAGACATGCCCGTGCGGGCTACCCACGGCAACCGGGAGAGCGTGGGAAAACAGGTACATTCCTGCAGTCCATACCCTCTGAGCAGGGCAGGAAAACGCCACAGATTATTTCCCACACTGGTTTTTGTCCTCAAAACGTCACACACAGCACGCTTGTTTTCCTTATATTTCTGAATTTGACCAAAATAGCTTTGAGAAAAGCAGAAGAATTGGGGGAAGCTCTGGGAGGGGAGGTAGTCAGTATTAAGCTAGCCATTTCGGCAAAAGGTTTATGTTTTGACAAAGGGAGGGAAGAACAAAAGGAAAAGGAGGAAGCAGAGGGACGTCAGTATTAAACTAGCATTTTCAGCAAAAGCTTTACATTTCATGAGGAGTAGGAAGAAGAAAAGGAGCTGAGCATCCCCCAAGCACTCCTTGCTGACTTGTCTGCTTGGGTGCAGGCTCCCTCTGAGCCTGCTTCATGTCCTCCAAGTATTGTGGATTACTCAGTTACTGCTTAAAGGGTTACTTTCTTGTCTGACACTCTTTTTTGTTATATGCAGTCCTCCAAAATCTAGAGGTTTCTGCGTCCTGGTGTTACCTGGGAATCGGTCAGGTGGCACTTTGAAATGTTAACATGTAACTTGGTACTTGATGACCGCTCACTGGATACCAGTCTGCATGACTCTTACTGTTTTGGTTTGATTTTTTTTTTTTTTTTTTTTTTGCCTCTGCACAACCACTATATGATGCTTACAGGTGAGAATTAAGCAGTTGTGGACTTAAAATAGAGGATGAAAACAAAGCATAGCCTACACACATGTGGAAATGGGCTCTCGCTCTTCCTCCTTCCCTGCCGTAGTGCTCTCCCTCTGCTCAGGGGTAGAGAAGAGGCCATGGGTAGCATAAACAGGATACCGGCCAATGCAGACCTCTGGTCTGACCCAGGACATCTATTCTTGCAGCCCAGCGAGTTCTTCCGTCGGATTGAATGCAGGGCACGACTCGCAGTGGCGTTAATGAGTCCAGCCGCCGGCACCCAGCTCTGCTCAGTCACTCTCGGTATTTCGCAAAGTCAAATTCCCACTGCCTTACTAACAAATAACACTTTTAAAAGAACGAGTCCTGTGGGAATATGTGTCAGAGTTAAGTCCCATGGGAAGATCCCCCGAGGAAATATTTCTGTATGCTGTCATGAGCGCGTGTAGCAAGATGGGATCGCAACTGAAACTTCAGGCAGTCTCACCGAACAGAGAGCGCTCTTGTTCCTCCGTCTTCAGAGGAGATGAGTCACCCTGCGCTTGTGCCGGTGGTGGTTTCTTACACATAGCTGCTTTTTTTTGTTTTGTGCCCTTAACCAGAGGGTTGGCACCCGCTGCCTGGGAAAGAATAGTGACTGGAGGGGGCAAAAGCAGAGAGCTTTGAAACTCAGGAGTCAGACGTAAATAAGGCAGGAGGGATTTTTTTTTTTTTTTTTCTTAAAAGAAGAGCTGACATTGATTGATTAGCACTCCATGTGTGCAGGCTAATTGCTTGTGGAGGTTGAGGAGGAGTTCCCACACCTGGCCCTATGGACTCTGTAGGGTATGTCTTGCTCCAGAATAAGATGGTGGCTTTTCTGTAGGGCCAGTTCTAGCTTGGAGAGGTTTGATTGTGCTCTGCTTCTGCCCTCATTAAGCACAGGCATCTTCTCTAATGAAACCTGGGTAGGGCTGCCTAAACGGAATGGGACCATGGTGCAAGGGCCATGCTAAATGCCTTGGACCCAGCTCAGGTGAGCTGGAACAGCTTCATCCCGTTCCCTTCTCTGAAGGGCTTTTCCAGGAGAAAACACCCTTTTTTTGGTTGTTATTTGTTCATACCTGTTTTCATTTGGGTTTTCTTACTTGCAGGCATTAGATGACATCAGAGCTGGATAATTCATCTCCAGGCTGAGCTGCTGCACTTCATCTAGGAGTAAATATTTAGCCTTCAAAGAAATAATTGGCCCGTGTTTCTTCAGTCTCAGAGACGAAGGAGGAGATAATTGCTTCCAAAAACCCTAATTTTTGAGGTTTCAAAGTATTTTTTTGCTTAGATCTAAAACAATGGCATTGGCTTTCTACTTATTAGGCTGGAGCAGAACAAGAGAGTTAATGCCTGGCTTTTATGTAGGGCTTTTTACTGGTGGGGCTTAATGCTTTACAAAGGAGGGTAAGGCAGCAGGATCTCTATTTTAGGAAGAGGAATGCCTCTAAACTCTTCTCCCTCAAGCTCTTCTGGCCACTTCGGAGCTACTTTCCACCTCCTTCACTCCCACAGTCTTGCAGAAGCAGGAGGGGAGTGATAATTAATGGCCTGTATTATGTGGGAAGCCTGCAATGTTATCCCAGGGTAGGTGGTCCCTGGAAGGCAGGTGCCTTTCTCCATGTGTTGAGGATGCTTTCTTTGCCTTTATTTGCATAATTCATCTGGGCACTTCTTTGACTTTCTGCCTATGTGTCGAGCGGAGAACCTGATGGAGGATTGGAGGTGGTTTATGCTGGAGTCTGTTTATCCAGCTGGAGGCAAGGGTTAGTCTCAACTCCTCTAGCTCAAGCTGCAGCACGCTGCTCTTGCAGCGAGAGCGCGCAGGCAGGATGACTTTGGCGGCGGTAGTCCTCGGGTGCTCCCCAGAAACAAGCTCTCCTGCAGCTGAAACGGGCAGGAAAGAAACCAAAACCCATTTGAAACGGAGACTCCCAGGACTTAATGCAATGGGTAATGCGGGAGCTGCTGGGGTTCCCATGGCGAGGGCTTTGGCGTGGGGTTGCTGTCACCTGGAGCTGGCTAACCCAGGATTCGGCCCTGGATCTGCTGTGCCAGTGGCAAGGAAGGTTTGTCCTATTTCCATGCGGGTCTGTGAAAGGCTCTTGATGAGATCCCTTCCATCTCTGTGATGAAACCTCCTGGCAGATCCTGGGAGAGGCTGCCTTGGCCATCAGCACTGACCCAGGCCCTTTACTATCCTCTGAGTCTCCTGCTCATGTCATCCTCAGGCTGCAGCAGATAATTTATAGGCAGAATTGAGAGCGTATCCCCAGGCAATTATCCTTCTGGCCTGCCTGTGCTATTTCAGACTCTGTTTCTGCAGACTTTCTCCCTTCCTGTATTTGTTAGTTTCTATTCCTCAGGAGCCCTGCACTTGGCCTCTGGCTGCCAGAACTGTTGACTAAACTGGGAAATACCTTTTTTAAATCAGAGAGGAAAATGCCGGTAGTTTGGCCTGTGCTCCCAGGGGCTTACAGGACAGAGCTGGAAAGCTTTTTTTTTTTGCTTTTTTTTTTTTTTTTTTTTCCCCCCCACAGACTCTCTTACTGTGCTTAGAAAGTAAGGAACAATGATATAAAAACGAGGTCTTTGCAAGGAGAGGAACACTAGCTGAAAGGTCTGTGCATCCTCCCTGTTGTTTCTGCTTGATCGTCCTCAGCCACGCACAATTTTCCCCCCCTTTGCTACCACCTTCCCTACAGCTACCTGGAAAGGCAAGAGTGCTGGAACAACCCCACTCCCTCCCTTGATGTGGTGTGTTTTTCTCACTGCAGGCTGTGATATCCCGCTCTGATATCAGGGGAGCTCAGGAGACTCATGGCTCCGCTTTTCCTGTTTGCTGCAAGAAGGCTCGCCATGCAGCTGGCCCCGTGTCCACCCTTCCATGGGGGACGGGGTGGGTAAAGCTCCCCAGAACTTGTTTCCTGGTGGCTTTGTCTCCCTGCAGTTCTGCTGCATTTGCTTTGGCTGGGAAGGTGGGAAAGCTTTTTGTCTTTTTCTCAACATTTCAGGATAAAAACAGGCTTGGAGGCAAAACTCATTTGTTAGATGCTCTCATCCTCTTTGTCCATGTTCACAGCATCAAGACGCAGCTACATCAGAGCAGCTGATCCTCCCTGCTTTAGCTTGAAAATGAGTAGAGACCTTCAGCCTGAAGTTTGCACTTCAAACCTCCTGGGTAGCCTTAATGCAATGCAGTAAGCATGCAAAAACCCTCTCCCACATCGGTTCCTCTTGGCTCTGTTCTTCCCCCAGGTCCCCTCTGTGCTTTGAGTGGGAGCTGCTGGAGTTTGAGGATCGAGTTTCCCCTTGTGAGCTGAGGGGAAGGTGCCTTTGATGGTGTTGTGTCAACAAAACTAACAGCTCAAAGGAGGTAGGAGGGACTCTGCTGTCACCAGCCTGAGGGGGTTGTATCAGATGTGGTCCCCCTGCAGTGGGAGGCTCTCTTGGCTGAGCGTGCCAGAAACCTGCTGCCCGTTAGTCATAGAGCGGAGTAGTTTGCCCTTGATGAAGCTGTGCAAAAACCTTGCCCCAAACAAAAAAACAAAAGCCCCGTTTTCATCATCATCTCCTAGAAAATAGTGGCAAGTTTTCAAAACAGTTGGTGAAGCTTCATAACGCTGGTCCCAGATCTGGGGTGAGTTTCCTTGTTCCAGGGCCTCCTTGGTGATGTGAGATTTGTGGAGCTCAAGGGAGATGTGACCCACAGCGAAGGACTGGGCTTCCCAAGGAAGAGAAGAGAGCCAGCAGCCATCCGGCCCCCTGCCTCCACAAATCAGTGCGTCACCTTCATGCACAACCTAAATAACATGCAGGACCTATGGCTGCAGGGCAGTCCAAGAGATCGGTAGGGTTTGTCAAGAGTAAATAGTCGTT